TCTGGGCATGTCGCCATATTTATTCTGGGATTAAAAACAGAATGTTGGGGCAATTATTTTTCCTATTCTGTTGTGACTGGAGGGTGAGTGATCACATGTAAGGATAGCAGTGGCAGCTGGGGAATGTGTGGGCGAGTTTTCTGTTCAAGTGGGCGAGTATACATTCAACATGTACAGGCCTAGTGTACCCGCCCACACTCACTCCAATTCCCAGAGGTTGATGGGAAGTGTAGTTTCCTGAGAGGAGAAGCTATGACGTGATCCCTGCTGTTACACGTCCTCCTTTTAGAGCAGATGCTGATCTTTTGAATTACAGAGATGACTTTCTGGAAATTCAATTAGATTTTTCTCTTCAATGGTAAGGAATTTCACAAATGTAATAACTGTTTATTGTTTTGTGTAGGTTGGTGTACTAATGGGTGATTGTTTTGCCTATCCTGGAGTTCTTCTTTAAATAAATACGTTAACTTGATATTGGTAAGATTATTTACATAAATCTAGTAAAATACAAACTCATACCTAAGTAAGAAAACAAAAGTTTCCCTTTAAGATTCCTTCTGGTGTCAAGAACTTTACAGTGAGGTATACATCCCAGGTGTGTCTCAGTATAACCTGACATATGTAATGATAGCAGTGGCAGCTGGGGAATGTTTGGGCGAGTTTTCTGTTGAAGGGGCGAGTACACATTCAACATGTACAGGCCTAGTGTACTCGCCCACACTCACTACAATTCCTAGAGGTTGATGGGAAGTGTAGTTTCCTGAGAGGAGAAGCTATGACATGATCCCTGCTATTACACATCCTCCTTTTAGAGCAGATGCTGATCTTTTGAATTACAGAGATGACTTTCTGGAAATTTAATTAGACTTTTCCCTTCTTTCTTATTAACTGTTTATTGTTTTGTGTAGGGTGGTGTACTAATGGGGGATTGTTTTGCCTATCCTGGAGTTCTTCTTTAAATAAATATGTTAACTTGATATTGGTAAGATTATTTACATAAATCTAGTAAAATACAAACTCATACCTAAGTAAGAAAACAAAAGTTTCCCTTTAAGATTCCTTCTTGTGTCAAGAACTTGGATTTTTACAGCGACGTATACATCCCAGGTGTGTCTCAGCATAACCTGACATATGCGGCTTTGTATCTCCGCTGTTGTGATACGGCATTCGGGGATATTTTGTTGGACAGATGGCCTTCGGAAAAAGTTATGCAATTTGATTATTCAAATAATTTTTCTTGGCGTAATGGAAAACCTCATACTAGTCTGGAAGCAGGCGTAATGCCATCCAGCAGATGGCTCATCTGCCGAGTGTTCCCGAACATCAACCCTCCTTCATAGCGGCTTTATCGGCCAAGAATATTGAAAAAGGTATTTGCTAATGCAATTAAAGCATTCATCAACACAAGGCATAATAGGGAGCCACAGAAAAATGCAGAGGGTAGCCCTCCTCTAGAATACTTCAGAAGTAATTTTTCCCAGATTGAGACGTTGGTGGAGAATTGACTTAATTTCTGGTTGATAAATGGTAGGCAGATGCCCAGATTTTAAAATGTATTTATGTATGCAAATTGGCATGTAAAATAAGCTTGACTCATGAAATGCCGTTTTTACGTTAACAATTCGTGTTCCCAAGAGCTCAGTTAAGGCTTATTCAAGTCTGCCGAGAATCGGGTCAAAATCAGAGTCTACATGGACACTTCAACACATTAGTAGACACTCTTCACCAACAGATCTACAATGGGGCTATTAATTAGGTTTTAGTGGATTGCAACTGTTCCACCAAGTCACTCTGCAATACCTAGATGCACTGAGCCCTGGTTCATACTGATGCAGTGCGGAATTCGCATTGTTTTCAGTGCGAATTCCGCACTGCATCAAAATCGCACCCCATCAGGGGCGGACTGACAACTCATGGCGCCCCCGGGCAATAGGGGATCATGGGGCCCCTGTGTCCTTGCCCAAACTCAAAAAAGCATATAAAAAAGGTACCAGGGGCATCTCATGGGGTCCCCTACTGACCCCGGGCCCTCGGGCACTGCCCGAGTTTCCAAATGGTCAGTCCGCCCCTGCACCCCGTTCATGTGAACATCTGCGGGTGTGTATGTTAAGTTAACAACACCCCGAAAGCGGTCCGCAAAACGCGGTGCGATGTGCAGAATCGGATTGCATAGGTGTAAATACCCATGCAATCCGATTATAGTGTGGACCAAAGAAAGGGTCCTGCACCTTTTTGGTGCGGGTGCTGTCCGATTAGTGCCATACAAAATGTATGACTCCAAATGCACCTCACACAAATCGCATGTGATTTGCACAGGAATGCGGTGCGGTTCCTGTGCGAATCACATGCCATATACCGCACCAAATGTATGTGAACCCGGGCTGAGGGTCCATTCACACCAGGTGCAGTGGGACTTCTTTGGGCGGCTATTTCAGCACAGTCTCTACACACCCCCATAAGGCAAAATGACTGGTCTCTTGTCTGCATTGCGGTGGTGTGGGGGCACGGTGTGCTGAAAAAGAGTACTGCATGTAGTACTTTTTTTTTCCAAAGCAGTGTAGTTCACTACATGCCAGCCAACATTTCAATAAAGTTTGTTTAAAAAAAAAAAGAACAAAAAAAAGGGATCGACGCATCAACACTGCGCTGGTCTGGCTGGACGGCAATGTACACCAGCTGCTAGGTTGCAATGCAGCAACTAATGTGTATGGAGCCCAACCATTTCAAAAGTAAGGCAGGCGTGCCTTTTAAAATTGCACCACACCAAATCGTGTGGTACTGTGGTGCCATGAGTTTTGGTGGGCATGAATGCATCCACATTTGAGAGATGTGTGGCATGTAAACCATCCCTAAAAGTTGAACTATGGCTTTCCATTAAAAGACATACAAGGGCTCATGCACCCAGACGTAGAATCCGGACCAGATTTTTGTTCATATACTGTATATGTTTGTGCTAACATGCTAACAGTGTATAATGCAATTTTTGGCCCTATGGTTGCTAGGATGCAGGTGGATTCTGCTCCTTAGCATCCTTTGTTACTAGGATGCAGGTAGCTCTTGTTGCCTAGCAGCCTTCAATGATAGGATGCAAGTGGCTCCTTGCCCCAAACATTAATCATTATTAGGATGCAGATGACTCTTGATACCCAGCATCCTTTTTTTGCTAGAACACAGATGGCTCCTTTGTTGCTAGGGTGCAGGCAGCCACTCAAGGCCAACACATTAACAGAGTAGTGTGTAATCAAACTGATTACATATCTACATGTTGGCCCTGAACAGACCATTAAAGTACAAAAATGTTTCCACATGTACAATGTAAAATAGGGTATATAAGCATTATACAGTGAGGAATAGAAGTATTTGAACACCCTGCGATTTTGCAAGTTCTCCCACATAGAAATCATGGAGGGGTCTGAAATTCACATTGTAGGTGCATTCCCACTCTGAGAGACAGAATTTAAAAAAAAATTCAGGAAATCACATTGTATGATTTGTAAAGAATGTATTTGTCTTATCAGCTCACTGGATTTCTGGCAGGCTAAACAAGTATTCTCTTTGCATATATTGAACTGATCTAATAAACTGTTCTCAACTACATTTTTAATAGACTTAATGAAGCTCATTGTTAAGGTTTAGGTGTTCAGGGGCAGTATTTTCTCCAATGCCGGTAACGCTCAACTGCACGGGCATTGCAGATGAAGAGGAAGTCTGGAGGAACCTAGCTCCTCTATGGTTTCCTGGGTCACAGGGGACAGCTATCCAATTTAATGCTGGTGACCCATGTGACTTTGGTGGCCATCTTGTCCATCTTTTAGCGGCCATCATGTCAGTATATTATTTACACTGATAAGCAGGACACTGATCAACCGTGCCCTGATTATCAGTGCAGCCCATCAGTGCCCATCCGTGCAGCATATCAGTGCCCATCAGAAACACCTATCAGTGCCCATCATTGCTGCCTCATCAGTGCCACCTCATCAGTGTAGCCTCGTCGGTGTCCATCATTGCACATCAGTGCAACCTCATCAGTGCAGATCAGTGCAGCCAGTGCCCATCAGTGCAGCCTATCAGTGCCCATAATTGCTGCCTCATCAGTGCCCATCATTGCTGCCTCATCAGTGCCACCATCAGTGTAGTCTCGTTGGTGTCCATCATTGCACATCGGTGCAACCTCATCAGTGCAGATCAGTGCAGCCAGTGCAGCCTATCAGTGCCCATCATTGCTGCCTCATCAGTGCCGCCTCATCAGTGCCCATCATTGCTGCCTCATCAGTGCCACCTCATCAGTGTAGCCTCATCGGTGTCCATCATTGCACATCAGTGCAACCTCGTCAGTACAGGTCAGTGCAGCCAGTGCCCATCAGTGAAGCCTATCAGTGCCCATCATTGCTGCCTCATCAGTGCCGCCTCATCAGTGCCCATCATTGCTGCCTCATCAGTGCCCATCATTGCTGCCTCATCAGTGCCACCTCATCAGTGTAGCCTCGTTGGTGTCCATCATTGCACATCAGTGCAACCTCATCAGTGCAGATCAGTGCAACCAGTGCCCATCAGTGCAGCCTATCAGTGCCCATCATTACTGCCTCATCAGTGCCGCCTCATCAGTGCCCATCATTGCTGCCTCATCAGTGCCATCTCATCAGTGTAGCCTCGTCGGTGTCCATCATTGCACATTAGTGCAACCTCGTCAGTGCAGATCAGTGCAGCCAGTGCCCATCAGTGCAGCCTATCAGTGCCAATCATTGCTGCCTCATCAGTGCCGCCTCATCAGTGCCCATCATTGCTGCCTCATCAGTGCCATCTCATCAGTGTAGCCTCGTCGGTGTCCATCATTGCACATTAGTGCAACCTCGTCAGTGCAGATCAGTGCAGCCAGTGCCCATCAGTGCAGCCTATCAGTGCCCATCATTGCTGCCTCATCAATGCCGCCTCATCAGTGTAGCCTCGTCAGTGTCAATCATTGCACATCAGTGCAACTTTGTCAGTGCAGATCAGTGCAGCCTCATCAGCAGGGGCGGACTGACAACTCATGTCACTCTGCAATACCTAGATGCACTGAGCCCTGGTTCACACTGATGCGGTGCGGAATTCGCATTGTTCTCAGTGCGAATTCCGCACTGCATCAGAATCGCACCCCGTCAGGGGCGGACTGACAACTCATGGGGCCCCCGGGCAATAGGGGACCATGGGGCCCCTGTGTCCTTGCCCAAACTCAAAAAAGCTTATGAAAAAGGTACCAAGGGCATCTCATGGGGCCCCCTACTGACCCCGGGCCCTCGGGCAGTGCCCGAGTTTCCAAATGGTCAGTCCGCCCCTGCTCATCAGTGCAGCCTATCAGTGCCCATCAGTAAAGAAGTAAAATGACTTATTGAAGTCATTGAAGTATTGAAGCGGTTAATCTCCCTCTCCATGACATACAATAAACACAAAGTCCCAGAAAGAAAGAAAGAGAAATCGATGGCAGGTAAGCGAGGGTAGAAGCCAACACCCTTCTGCCTACGTAAAATTAAAAAATAAGTTCTGGGTGGGCTGACCTTTTCGGCAGACTCAAAACATTGCTACGGATAAATACTATTGCTGTTTGTTTTACCAGCAGAGCTATAAAACAACAATTTACAGGCATTCTATACTTTGTCAGCCATGTGATCATTTATCCAAGGTTAAGTGTTGCCCGCTTTCTCTTGGCCTCCCATTTAAATCTATCAACCCCACGCACTTCTGATCAAGTGCCATTCCCTGCAATTATGTGGAGGGTGTCAGTCATGTAATCACTGAGATATTGTCTTTCCAAGCATGTGTAGGTGGAAAGGAAAACAAACAATGCATTTTGATTCTTAAAACAAAGCCCGCAGAGAGAAATACAGGGGCTGCCAATGCTGACCTCATTCTAAAAACATTAGCAATTGTGTGCGTGTCCATAAACTGGTTCATTTAGATTGAAACTTTCCAAAGTTGGCTATACCGCCCCCTGGGGGGAGGCACTGGAACAATCCAGGAGAGGGGGGGGGGGCAGTAGTAGCCTCTGGTGCAATTGGGGGTCGTTGAATAAAAATAAGGGGTGATCAAGTGATGACAGGTCTTAAAGAGTAAGTCCATGGACAGATCCTAAAGAATAACTCCACTTTTGTTGGGAAAAAGTACATTTCCCTCTGGGTGGTCTATGTGTATTGCGGGGATTTTATCAAAACTTTGTTGCAGATTCGTATATTTTGTTATTCTGAAGAAATAGCTGTTTGTCTGTGTCCAAGTGCAAAATGAATGTGAATGAGAGTGATTTTATAATTAGCAATCTGCTGCTGCACTTGTAGGGTTGTACTGAGAGATGTGGCAGGGTCTGCATCCCTTTAGATATGGTTTTCCTTTGGGGAGTATCTCACCAAAAATGACATTTTAATTGCAGGGGATGCCCAAAATCTGACATATCTTAGTGCAGAGTTCTGGGAAAATCAGTAAACCAATCACACAAGCAGGAAATTTCTGGGGGGCATTCTGTACACCATCAGTGTACAGACCACCTTCAGGATGCCACCTCCATCAGATCATCCCCCTCAGCTATCACTTTTTGTACCACCTCTCCCTTCCTTCAGATTGTAAGCTCCACAGACCCTCCTATTCCTTTTGTACTGAAATGTATTGTAATTGTACTGTCTTCCCTATATATTGTAAAGTGCTGCGCAAACTGTTGGCGCTATATAAATCCTGTATAATAATAATAATAATTACAGCACTGCTGGTTGAAGAGGAAAGGTCATTTTTAATAACATTCAATTAAAATATGACTTGTGTTGCAATTGTATACACTATGACAGGGCTTGAAATTTCCACTCGCCTGCTCGCGATTTGGCTAGTGAAAATAACATGGGGGCAAGTGTGTCCTAGGCGCCGCATCGGAGGGTGAGGGGGTGGGTGCTACCAGCAGCACCAACCTGCCCTGAGCACTGTGTTGAGGGGGGGGGGGGGGGGGGGGGCGCACTGCGGGTGCCTGCGCCTCAGTGATTGATTGCAGTTGCACTCCTGTCACAGGGAGAAGCTGCTGACACTTGCTGGAGGGAGGACTAGGTTTTCTCCTCCCTCCTGCTTACAGGGAGCAATAGACAGCCGGCACTAAGGAGTGAAGGCAGAGTGTTCTTCCTCTCTCCCCTTGTCATGTGACTTATCACATGACCAAAGGAGGGAAAGAAGGAGAAGCTGCATTCACAAGAAGATCTGTGAGTACAAGGGGGAAGGGCGAGGTTACACTTATAGGGACACCTGATGTAAAGGGGGGCTCTGATGGGAACACCTTATATAAATGGGGACACTGATGGGGACACCTGATGTAAAGGGGGACTCTGATGGGAACACCTTATATAAAGGGGGACTCTGATGGGGACACCTGATATAAAGGGGGACTCTGATTGGAACACCTGATGTAAAGGGGGACTCTGATGGGAACACCTGATGTAAAGGGGGACTCTGATGGGAACACCTTATATAAAATGAGGACTCTGATGGGGACACCTGGTGTAAAGGGGGACTTTGATGGGGACTCTGATGGAAACACCTGATGTAAAGGGGGACTCTGATGGGGACACCTGATGTAAAGGGGGACTCTGATGGGGACACCTGATGTAAAGGGGGACTCTGATGGGAACATCTTATATAAAGGAGGACTCTGATGGGGACACCTGATGTAAAGGGGGACTTTGATGAGGACTCTGATGGGGATACCTGATGTAAAGGGGGACTCTGATGGGAATACCTTATATAAAGGGGGACTCTGAAGGGAACACCTGATGTAAAGGAGAACTCTGATGAGGACACTTATTTTCATTTTATGTTTACATTGTTTTATTATTATTATTATTATTATTATTATTATACAGTATTTATAAAGCGCCAATAGTTGGCTCAGCGCTGTACATTACAACGGGAGACAATACATGAGACAGTACAATAACAATACAGTGCGATACACGAGGGGTTCGAGGGCCCTGCTCCAACCACTTGCCCTCACGACTCTATTAAGCTATTGCTGTTATGTTTAAATTGACATAATAAAGATATGTTATAATTCTTGTTTTTAATATTTTGGACTCTTTATTCTAAAGAAAAATTTAATTTCATAAGCTTTAAGGGGGCGTGGTTGGGGGACGGGCTGGGGTGGGGTTTTAGGTGGACCTGGGCAAGGTTGGGTGGGGCAACTGGTGGAGAGTAAGGTTTGTGCCTGGCTAGTAGGTCTAGACTTGAAATTTTAAGCCCTGCTCTATGATATATTTTTTATATTTTTTTCCACGAAAGTGGCTTTACCCTGTAAAGCCCAACTCCAGACAGAAAATAATTATCCCTTGCAGTGGACCTGCACCCACACTGCAAGGGTTCAGTGCTTGTTTTGTCCAGGGGAGAGGAAAACCCCTTATTTTTACCTGAACCTTCGTTACCCCCGCCAAGTGTTCACAGCATTAATTAGACTCATCCCTGCCCAGCAACTCACTGTATACGTGATTCTCAGCCCTGCCCAGCGCATCACAGCATACAGTCATGGCCGAAATTGTTGGCACCCTTGATATTTCTCCAGGAAATCATGTATTTCTCACGAAACGTATTGCATTAACACATGTTTTGCTATACACATGTTTATTCCCTTTGTGTGTATTGGGACAAAACAAAAAAAGGGAGGAAAGAAAGCAAATTCGACATAATGTCACACAAACCTCCAAAAATGGGCTGGACAAAAGTATTGGCACCCTTTCACAACTGCGGATAAATAAGAATGTTACAAGCATGTGATGCTCCTGTAAACTCACCTGGGGCAAGTAACAGGTGTGGGCAATATAGAAATCACACCTGAAAGCAGATAAAAAGGAGAGACGTTCACTTAACCTTTGCATTGTGTGTCTGTCTGTGCCACACTAAGCATGGACAACAGAAAGAGGAGACGAGAACTGTCTGAGGACCTGAGAACCAAAATTGTGGCAAAATATCAACAATCTCAAGGTTACAAGTCCATCTCCAGAGAACTAGATTTGCCTTTGTCCACAGTGCGCAACATTATCAAGAAGTTTGCAACCCATGGCACTGTAGCTAATCTCCCTGGTCGTGGACGGATGAGGAAAATTGATGAAAGATTGCAACGCAGAATAGTCCGGATGGTGGATAAGCAGCCCCAAACATGTTCCAAAGACATTCAAGCTGTCCTGCAGGCTCAGGGAGCATCAGTGTCAGCGCGAACTATCCGTCGACATTTAAATGAAATGAAACGCTATGGCAGGAGACCCAGGAGGACCCCACTGCTGACACAGAGACATAAAAAAGCAAGACTACAGTTTGCCAAAATGTACTTGAGTAAGCCAAAAGCCTTCTGGGAAAACGTCTTGTGGACAGATGAGACCAAGATAGAGCTTTTCGGTAAAGCACATCATTCTACTGTTTACCGAAAACGGAATGAGGCCTACAAAGAACAAAACACAGTACCTACGGTAAAATATGGTGGAGGTTCAATGATGTTTTGGGGTTGTTTTGCTGCCTCTGGCACTGGGTGCCTTGACTGTGTGCAAGGCATCATGAAATCTGAGGATTACCAAAGGATTTTGGGTCGCACTGTAGGGCCCAGTGTCAGAAAGCTGGGTTTGCGTCCAAGATCCTGGGTCTTCCAGCAGGACAATGACCCCAAACATACGTCAAAAAGCACTCAGAAATGGATGGCAAAGAAGCGCTGGAGAGTTCTGAAGTGGCCAGCAATGAGCCCAGATCTAAATCCCATTGAACACCTGTGGAGAGATCTTAAAATTGCTGTTGGGAAAAGGTGTCCTTCCAATAAGAGAGACCTGGAGCTGTTTGCAAAGGAAGAGTGGTCCAAAATTCCGGGTGAGAGGTGTCAGAAGCTTATTGATGGTTATAGGAAGCGACTGATTTCAGTTATGTTTTCCAAAGGGTGTGCAACCAAATATTAAGTTAAGGGTGCCAATACTTTTGTCCAGCCCATTTTTGGGGTTTTGTGTGACATTATGTCATATTTGCTTTTCTGCCTCTGTTTTATATTTGTTCCAATACATACAAAGGGAATAAACA